ATAATCTACAACAACAGCAATAACCAACAGCAGCAGCGTAGCAGATCTATTCCGCCAAGTCCAAATACATTAACATTGTCATATCCTTTATCATGCTAAAATCTTCAGAGAGTTGTCATGATAGAACTAAGATTAATAAATGCCGTAGAAGAATTTTTCATCATTAGTTCATGTTAACTATTGTAGTTAACTAATGTTAACAAATGAAACCTTATTGTAAAGTGTTACCGGCTCTTCAGATACTTTTTGTTTGTTTTTACTTGGAAATGAGACAAATACTGATTGATGAAAATTATTTTTGCAGGATATCTCAAACATGAAGGAAAATTACTTTTTACGTCTGTGGTGAATATATGTTATAAGTTTTAATGTGCAGTAATATAGTGTAGTGTTATGTGTGTTTGTCCATAATGATGATGAAGTGGCCCCTCTGTAGCCTGTTATGATATTCCTGCCTCATGATGTCATCCCACAACTCCAGTGCATGAGAAGGTCACACACACACATACACAAACAGCTGGCTTCTCTTGCCCAGCGCTTCAGTTCTCATCTCCACAGCTTCTTTATTCAGCTCTTGGAGAGCAGGACCAGACAGTAACCCTTTACTCTCTAATACTGTACAGGCCCGTCCTATCTCTCAAAAACACCTGCTTTTCCTCTCTTTTTACATGAAATGATGTAAAATTCATCACATTCAGTGCCAACCAACGTGTTTTGCACACTTTCTCGAACACTTTAGTTTATAGCATCAGGTTGCTAATAACAAGTCACTAATATCAGATAATAGAATCTGAACTCCACCCACCGAGAAGCCCAAGGGTTTTAGATGTTCCTGCGACTGTTTGTTGAATTGTGGGAGTTTTTGGTGTGATGAGGGTGGAAAGAATGAAGCGGGTTATTTACTCAGATGGTTCTCTGGTGTAGGTGTGAGTCTGCCCCTGCTGTTCTATGGGAACACGCTGCTTGCTTTTCTTGGTATTGGTGCCTTTTTTTGCTCGACTGGAGAACTTTTTTTTCCCCAGCACTGCTGTTGCTTTTGTTTGCTCTGGATGGCATGTCTGATTATTTATGGTGGGGTGGGGAGGGAGTAGTCCAGCCAGTAAACATGTGACTGCACTGTATTTTGTTTTCCACTCAGAGGGCCATGTCTTTTGACAGATATTTTGAAGTCTAATAAACTTTTTATTTGCTTTATGAACGGGGGAGGGAGGGGGAGAGAGACAAACAGATAAACGTAGCAAGAAAGAAAGTGAGAGAGGTTGCTTTCCACATACCACACTACCATACATACCATTTAGTGTGGATAGTATAGCCAGGTCATCTAATACATTTGTCAAAACATACAGTATGCAACAGAGTATACTGTGTTGGTTACTGTATCCCACAATGCAATGCATTTTCCATGACCTTCTCTTTCCAATGTAATAAATGAACCAGAAGCAATATCAGCCACAATTTAAAATCTCTTTTTGACTCATTTTGAATTAAAACATATTTTGATTATATTATTATTATTACATTTTAAAGGATAGTAAATTATAATATAAAATGCTATATTAATAACCCAATTATATTTAATTTATTGTTTATACATAATACATTTAGTAGCAGCTAGTTGATTTTTACCCTAGCAGGCACATTGTTTACTGAAAATATTTTTGTTAAATCTTTTGTTAAAATTGGTTTCTTTTTGGCAACTGATATTTGCACATTCAACTTTTTTATGTATTATGTACCAACATAAAATAAAAATGTATTTTTTTTTCCGGAGCTGAGAACTAAACCCTAAATTTGCTAAATTAAACATGCAACATGCAGCAGATATTTAATGCATAATGTGAATTGTTTATTTTCTTCAAATAAAAGTATGCAGAATACAGTAGTATTCAGTATGCTATTATTCTATTCTGAACATATTCAGAAAGATTAAACAACAGCTTGTGTCCTCCCTGTTCCATGTAACTGTAAGCTATTCAACAAGAACATTTTGTTAACTGTTTGTGGTAACTGTTTTTGTAAACTGTTTCCTATCAGCTTTTTCACCTACTTGTTTGTTTTGGCAAATAATCATTGCATGTGACCAAATTAAGTTGTGCATTTGTTTAAAATAAGCAGGGAGGAAAAATGGTATCTAACCCAGCTGTAACAACATGGCATCATTTAGATCACATCTTTGATACCAAAAAGCAGTAGAGCCGTTCTCAAGGGAGTGTCAGTCCCCATCACAGAAACATAACACTACTGAAACTGTTGTTCATGAACTTTTGTTTTCTCACATTGTTTTTGTCTGTCTTTTTTCTCACCCAGGCCTTACAAGTTGCACGACAAATCCTTCTCCAACAGCAACAGCAAAGCAGTGCCCACAAGTCCCCAAAAAACAATGACAAGCAACCTGCACCACAGGTACGTGTGCGCATGTAAAGCTCAGATGTTCCTCAAGTGTTGCACTTAGATTGCTCAGGAGCCTATATGGAGTTTGCAGAATGTTTTAGCAGAAATCTCAACTGTCTCAGAAATACAACAGAAGCAAATGAGAAAACTGTTGACATAATATATTGACCTGTAAAACAAACGTAAACTGCAATGCTCAGATGATTTGATTTTGGGAGAAATATTGGAGTTCATTTTGAAATCATTGGTGTCTTGAATAATCTGAGCACAGTTTGAGACATTAAAGTTGAAATTAAACGGAAATAGTGACTGATGTTTTCTTCCATATTGTCATATCTGAGTATAACGGATTATGGTAAAAGAAAAAAATGTAGGGTGGGTACTTGGTTCTATGCATCAATTGTTGATTGGATTTTGAGATGTGGATGTTGCACTCAAGTGGAGGAAGGTCTTTGATTAAACATTACAAGGTCCAAAAAATTAAAATTGAAACATGCATGGAGAAATTGTTCAAAATTACATGCATTTAGAAAATAGATAGGGTTAATTTTCAGTTTCATACCAACTTTAAGAAGTTTACAGATGCAAATATCTCCATTTGCTTCTCATTTAATCTAGGAGAAACAACTGAGATAATAAAGAGATTGATTTTTTTCTTACCCATAGAACGGTACTGGTGCTGACATATATTTGTGTGTGTGTGTGTGAGTGTGTGTTTATGTGGGTGATCAGACATTATTTGTTTACATTTATACAGACGGTTGGTGGTACAACATGTACCTGTCAAAGCTTGACAAACAGGAAATTAAGGCAGGCAGGGCTGAAGAGTTGGCAGCACATTAGTGTAGTGTTCTTTCATCACTCACAGTAATCTAACAAACCACACTCAATGAAATCCTGTCAGTTTTAGCACATTATGAGCACATGGATATCTAATGTGTGTGCAAGTGTGAAGAGCAAACAACATTAGCTTATTGAATAGAGGTACAGTAAGTATGACGTCCTCTCTCTCTCTCTCTCTCTCTCTCTCTCTCTCTTTCTCTCTTTCTCTCTGGTTTCACATTAATTCTGTCAGCAGCAGTTAAAGGGGGCGCCCGGGAGCAGCCCTGGCTCCTGTCTCAGCCTCCGGGCTTTCTATTTGCCTACCCTTTGTGATGCAAAGCAAATCCGGCCCTTTTCATTTCCCCATCCGCGCCCCTTTAAAAGAGAGCAGCTAGCCGTGTCTGATGCAATATTTACGTTTATTTGAGATCATTCTCGCTCAGATCCTTATCTCTGTTTGAGCAAGGTGGATGTTGTTTGTTTCGTGGCGGAATCGCAGGAGACCAAGGGGCATATTTGATAATTAACACACATCCCTGTGTTGAGTGAGCGAGTTTGTGCATGTAATGACTATATTTTTAGTGGCACTTGCTAATGAACAGACATAAGTGATACCTCAAATTGTACGGCATGTTGAGTTGTTAGTTTTCTAAGCATTTGGACTTGCAATTTTCATTCTGGCAGATGATAAAATGTGGGAAAAACATACATGCATTGAAGAAGTGACCTGAATATCACAGGGACTTGAAGCTCATTTCACACAGAACACCACATAGCTAAACTAAAACACCCTTGCAATCACATAGTAACACCCTAGGAACATGACACAAGTTTTGCACAAGCTAGTACCACTCAACCCTACGAACAAGAACAGCAAACATGAAGCTTTAAAAAAAATTTGCATTTTAAATCGCAATCGTAATTTTTATCAGACAAAATGCAGTTAAATTTTCCCCCCCAAATCGTACAGCCGTACGATGTGTCATATCAGTATCATGTCATGTAGTGTAAAAGAACTTTGGTTGTGTAGATATCACTGGAAATAAGCCACAAGGGAATAAATGCGGCTTGTGACCTTTAGGTTCTGTGTGAATTTGTTGGCATTGAGATAAAGCCAAAAGGATCAAGCTAAACAGCTTCACTCATCAGGCTAAGGGGTCAGCGGCTGGCAGATTCCACTATCTAGACTGTCAGTACGTAGAGGAGGAGCAGACCAGCCTCAGCACACAAAGACAAAATTAAAATTCAAATTTATTAATGTATACAGAGAGCATGGCCAACCTGTCACTCACACCAGTGAAAAGAAAGCATGTGTGTTTTTGTCTTTCACCCTCATGCTCTCTTCTATCTTGACTGTGTTCAGAATAGAATCCTAGAATACTACTTTGTGCTGTATACTGCCTACTGTTTGATTGTTTGTTTTTTAAAGTGAATCAGTATGCAGAAATAAACATTTCAAACATGTAGCCTACAGTATGCTATGTTCTGAATCAGTTGTTTTACTTTTCTTTTTTGTAATCTGAGGTGGGAACAGCCACTCCGCTAGGCCTGTCACAATTATAAATAACATAAAATTAGCACTTTTATGTCTCTTCCTGTTGTGGTAGTGCTTTGTGAAGTTGAGCACAGTGCTTTGTGGGATATAGTACCCAGTGTATTATGCCTTATTTTATAGCCTACTGACCAATTTGTCACATATAGACGCTCATCCCTTGCATGTAGAAAATGCTCTTACTGTGCACACTATATATGTAGTGTGGTAGTATGTAATTCTGAACTTTCTCTTTCCTTCATTCTATCCACTTACTCTTTTAGCTCATTATATTATCTGAGAACCCAATAGCTCTTTGATGTCTTGTGTGATCTATCTATCATTAGATGCTGATCTCTATTAGGTGTTATTGCTGTACTGAGGCGCCAAAAGCCAACTTCAATTTGCTTTCTTTACTCTAGAGCATATTAATTTGATTTGTGACTGTTTTATCACCAATTCAGCATTTCGGTCTCCGTCCACCTAAGACTTTGAAAATTTAAGTAGAGAAATGTAATTGTAGCATGCTAATTGTTATTTGTTGGGCTGTTTAAAGTTAACACAAGGTACAGTAGTGAATTCATGGGAACTTTCACTAATCAATGGGCGTGTCTCAAACGTAAGTAGCGCATTGAATGCTGGACAATTAACGGACAAAATGTCTGATATTTCTTCATTAGAAGATTTTTTTTTTTATTAAATGGGGGGGGAAACTTTATTAATATGACACACAACATAGAACACCATAAACATCTGCTGTAGTGACAGAGGCTAAACACACTTGGCTGGTCAAAAAACCACGAGTAAATCACCCACAAAATGACACGTGTAATTAAAAGAGTCCATGCCACTTCACCACTTTACACCTACAGCAGAGAACGAGAGAGAGAGTCAACAAGAGAAAGAGAGAGAGGAAGATAGAGAGAGTGCAACTCCCTCCTTGCTAATTACGGTTATCACTGAAATGGTAGGGCTTGAGTCATTAGTTCCATGTGCATTTAATTAGAGGCAGTCTGAAATTGGATTTAACTTATTACTTTTTCATGGATCGCTTTCTTGTCATCACTTCAAATTGGATTGCAGCCCCAGGTAACTAATTATGCCCGCCACAGGATCAGGAGTGGAGAAATAGGTAATTAGGAACAACACTTGCGGACCTTCCTTGATAGTCCACCCTCTCCGTGGAATGAGGGAAAATAAAGAAGATTGAAAAAAGAGTGAGGATTATTTGCGGCAATGCTGTGAAAGCAGGTGTGGTTAACTGTGCGTTGCCGCAAGGGATGATGGGTAGGGAGCTGCCACCTATGGAGGATTACTTTGACGTGCAGCTGGGTTGACAATGTTATTTTGACATGGTTTTGGCCCGTTGGCATAATGCCCCTACTAGACACGTTGTGGTTTAGTTGATCATTGCACAGTGTAAATGCCATGCCTATCCTCGTGCATTCGTGAATTTTTGCCGTTAAAGGCTGCTTGAGCATAAACTTTTTCTGTTCACGCTTGAGTTGTCGAGAAGATATAGCAAAACAAACATGGTGTCAATAGGCAGCCTGAAAAGAGAGGTTGTTTGTTTCCTTAGACAGTGTTGACGCTTGTTGAGATCAGCTGGTCTGTTCGCTTATTTTGGTGGAAACGAACCGGTCTCTTCCAAACATGTGCGAATCATCTGGAGGAGTTTGTTACTGTACCAAAAAAACAGCTTCTTCTTCAGCTTCTTTGCATAGGTGCTTGTTGTGAAGTTAAAACAAAAACACAGACAAAAACATGGTTTGAAATATTTATTTATGTTTATTTATGTATTTATTATTTTACTCACTTTTGGCAAGTTATTGTTTGACCTTGATCGCAGGATTCCGCTAGTACACTAAAACACCAGCCACTAAAGAAGTGTTTTATGACTTCTCTTGTTAATGTCCTCTGTGGTGAACGAGACTCATTCTCCCAGTCTTCAATAGTCAGAAATGTCCGTTTTTTCAGCGTTTTGATGATGTCACAGGAAGTAATCAGTGTAGCTGTTTTGCACAATCTTTCTCCTTCTGTTTCTCTTTGCTTTTCTTTCATGATCATATGCAGTCGCAGGGAGGGCAAGTGGAGGTCAAGCGATAATGTCCTCTCACTTTAACAAACGATGAAGGGCCCGCACCCCCTCCTTCCCATCCACACACACACACACACACGCACACACACAGACTGCAATTCCTCGTCTTCATAGAGTGCTACATGACACAGTGCAGAAGTCAGGCCTTGGCTCTCCTTCACTAATACCCTCTTTCTTCTCTGCAGTTTTTTTTTCTCTAGTCTTTTTTTTAACTACCGTGTTTTTGGTAGAGACCCATGGCATTGTCCTGACACATGTATAACACAGTGCAGCAATCTGTAACTCATTAGCGGTGCGGTGTGCTGGGGCTCGCTGGAGCTCGGCCAGAGCTTCCAGCCTCTCTTATAGACAGCCCCAGCACAGCGTAGAGCCCATCTCAGCCACGAGCAGCCCAATGTGAGCTGCGGACTCTCTGTCATCCCCTGCTCTGTTCTGGAGGTGACAATGAGGCTGTTTGCAGTCTCGTTTGGCGGCCAGCCCAAACCAGAAGTCCGGCAACTCTTTTTATACTCACCAAGGCTGCATTTATTCGATCAATGATATAATAAAGACAGTACTATT